AGAAATATGAAGGAGACCAGGTCCAGAAAAGTAAGAGAGCTGAGACTTTATTTCTATCTTAGCTCTATTATGCAACAGCTAGAAGATCCAGATTATTCAATCATTAAATACCATTTAACTCTTTCAAATTGTATTAGTAACAGAAAGATCTACCTAACTCCTGGTAATGCTGTGATAATGTGTGAAAAAATAATTAGAAAATATTTTATTATAAAAATGGATATAAAGAACAATGCAATTTCCTATACTAATATTATTAAATATTGCATATTATGGCTCATTTGCATTTACTCAAGACTGTAGAAACTGTAGAAAAGACAGTTGTAACAAGTATGAAATGATCTTGTGCTGAAGGGAAAGAAGAGCAAAGTCATCCCTTGGGGGTGGGAGGTAGTCATCTGGACCACATTGAGACCACCTCTGAGCAAAACCTAACTTTTTTGCCAGAGAATACCCAACATATTGGAGCATTCCCAAAATATTACTTCAGCTGTCCTATGCATTTTTGACAAAATGAAGGGTAATTGTAAATGTGATAATCTAAGAAAGTGATGGTAAGCCTACATCTCACAAACTTTTTCAAATTTAAGGTCACAACTTTCTAGTGACCTACCAGCTACAAATCAATTTAATTGGTGTAACAAAATTTTTTTAAATGAGCAAAATAGACTATAACAGTGTATGCTAGAATTAGTATAGCAAACACAAGAGTACCACGGCATGTAATAAGAGTATTATTTTATTATCTTTTTCTATCAGCTTTTGAGTATTAGGAAAACAAACAAAATACTGTATCTGTTTTGCCCTCTCTTTTCACGTCCTACCCAGTAATGAAGAAGACTTTTATAACTCAAAAGGTGTGGGGATATCTCTCCACGTGCAAGCAACCAATTAATTCTCAGTGGCATCAGCGGGGTGTTCTCAAATCCCGTCTAATTCTGACAGCATCAGATCTCATAGGTTGGGAGACAGCAGCAAGTTCCACAGGTTGCAGACTTAGTCCTCATGACTGTCTTTCTATTTCAGATTGTAGATACAGGTCACAGGTTGATTTACCTGTGCTTTGGACTAACTGTATATAAATTGAGATTTCCACAACTTCCTCCTTGAATTTAATTAATTTACCTAAGCAGGCCATAGAACTCAAAGAAACACATCTACCAGTTCATCACAATGGGCATTACAAAAGGTTAAGATAAAAAGATGGCTGGGGTGAGGTATGGAAACCTCTCTTCAGATGTCACCTTCCAGGAACTTCCAAATTCAGCCACCTAGAAACTCTCTGGACTTTATCCTTCCAGGTTTTTATGGAAATTTCATTACATAGCCGTAATTGAAGCATGGCCAACTATGTCAACATGTGATTAAACAAATAGGGTATGATCAAATGCCGATAAGAATGGTAAAAACACTCACCTGACAAGATCTGTCCACTTCAGCATTTATCCTGATCTCTCTGCTCAACCTTTCTTTAAATAATGGGACAGGACATATCGATAGAAAGGAGGGTTGTATGATCTACAATCTGATCAAGGTGATATAACTAGGTCAAGAAAAGCCTATCCCCCAGGGAAGAGAAATTCTAGTCTCCATGGCTTATCTTGGGAAGGAATTATAGCCAGGAATTGTGAATGAAAATCAAATTTTATATATCATAGTATGATAGTTATATATTTGTATGCATATGTACTAACAATGTAAAACATATATTTTTACTGTAGAATGGAACAAAACACTTTGATACACTTAAAACTTTGGAGTCTGACACACCTGAGTTTTGAATCCCAAAAGTAGCTACTTCCTAATTAACTAGCCTTAGACAAATTACTCTATCTCTTTAATCTCTTCAACACCTAGAAAAGAATCTTTTCTGTGTGGGGATTCCTTCAGTAACATCTGTAAATGTCCAAACTAGTGGACTAGGTGATTTACTTTTCTACATTAGGACCAACAGGTATAGAATCTGGCTAAATCTTCTTTTAGGAACAATTTGACATTGTCCAAACTATTCAACTTCATAGTAATTTAAGGTCTTTTTGCTTGTTCTAACCATAAAACGTAGGTAATAAAAGCAACTACTACACAGGTCTATTGTGAAAATGTAATAATAAAACATTTAGCCCAATACCTGTAAAGGAGTTCAGAGAGTACACCCTAAAATATACCATCGTGGTATATTAGTTATTTTGAACTAAAGATAATGGAGAAACACCAGATACAGGAAGGGCTCTCTGACCTCCTCCCAAAACATAATATTCTTCATGTAGAGGGTACCTTCCCTGTACTATGAAGAGAACATTCTTCAACTGAAGGCTAAGAGCTGATGCTGAAAACAGTCAGTGCAAAAAACCTATTAAAATAGCCCTTATCTTCCATTAGTTTCTTCCATATTATCTCTTATTGCTTTCCCACAAATTAATTCTTCTAGAAGCTTAATTCTTTCCCCTTTGTCATGTTGTTTTTCTGTAATTTATTACTTTGTTTAAAAAAGAAGTGTATAAAAACTTGATCCTAATTGACTCTTTGGGTATCCACTTTTGTTAAAAAAAAAAAAAAAAAGAAGGAGCCTTGAGTACATGTGAAAATACTACATAAAGTTTGTTTGCTTTCCTCCTGTCAACTAACTAATTCATAAGCCCAAGCTACAGAATTTCAAAGAGTGAAGAAAGATTAATTTTCTTTTTCATTTCTGGCAGTAAGAATAGGATAACAGGTTTGGGGTCACTCTGCTTACTCCAAAAGGTACAACTGAGATCTTAGGAACACATGACACATACAGCAAAAGATAAGAACTCTTAACCTCATCAGCCTCCCACATTTCTGTCTGTAGGGACCAGTGCAGTGAATCTAAGCTTTTAGTGGAGCTAAACACTGGCTGGAGGGAAAACTGCCCCTATTCTCACTACTCCAGATATGCCTTTGGAGCCTGCCACACTGAGGATGCTATCTGGAAACTTGTAGACTTAGTATCTCCCAATAGTTTTATTGCCAGTGGACACATAAATGTAACTCTATCACTGACTTTTTACCCTCCTACTAAAATTGCTATTTGTTCACTAATCAGCCCATACAAGGAGACTGATAATGTGAGGGGCAGGGGGGATTGAAGCGGCTGCTAAATATGCAGTTGAAAATAGATCCCCTTTCTATTCTTTCTCCAGTCAATTTATAAACTTGCTTTTATTCTTGACTGATATTATTGACAATCAGGCAATCAGGAAAAAGTAAATATGTAAGTGTGCCAAGCACTTACCTGATCCTTTATACATTGTACCAAACATAATTCCTGTAGTCTGCTTTCTTTTGATCTTTTGGCTTGCATTATCTCCCATCATATGAGACATACATTTAATTAGGGGAGAGTTAAGGGACTAAAAGAAAATTGGTTCTTCCCTAACATTCACAAAATTTCTGAGAAAATTATTTACCAAGGCACTACTTGTAAATTTTACCAGGTTTCTGTGGGTAATCTACATACTTGAGGGATGAGGTGGATTACTACTTGAGAGAAAGATCATGGGCTGCTGATTTTCTCGGAGAAGCTTGCTGCGGATGATTTTCCTGATGCAACCTTGTCTGTTTATATCAGAGGAAGACCTCGGGCCTCACTGTCCCTGGGAATGGCTGCTGTTTCATCAGGGGAGATCAGATATTCACTGTCAGCATCACTTCCTGGCTCTAGTACAGATCCCTCAGCTTGAGGGCACAAATTCTTCATCCCACCGGCATAGGTTTTCTGGCTTCCACTATTGGCCTTTGGGCCTTTTGGCTGAAGATCTTCAATATAGACAAGAATGAGACATTGCTGTGGGCTCTAGGCCACTGGGTGAACTCCTGGGGGACATTGGCTGGCACTCTAAGCCTGTAGCTGAACTTGTGTGGGACATTGTTGTGGAATCCAGGCCCATGGCTGGATTCTTTGGACCTCTAGTGTGGTGCTAATCTCTTGCACTCCTTTGTATTTACCTTTTTAGGTAAATATCATAAAATAATCCTATAAATTATGTGTCCTGTATTAAATGTATTCCCTTGCCAAAACCCTGACTACAACAAGGGAATACCATATGGGGCACTCTGCCCTTAAGATCCATATAGACTCCATAGCTTTACCTTCAGACTTAGGGATACTCTAATTCTTTGGTTGTTATCTGTATGTTTAGTGGGTGGAATAAATGCTATTTAGATGTATTAACACCATGACAGAGACAAAGAAATTAATAACTGAGATTATGGCTCATTTTGGCATTCTCTTATGGATTGAATCAAACTAAGAAAGTCATTTTTCAACAGAAATAAACCACTTGCTCAGAAAAACTGCTGAGCAATTTTTTAAAAATTTCATACCTTATACCATCCTTTAATCATCAGGACAGGTAGAATATAAAAATCTAAACATAAAAAAGATTTTAGGAGAAAAATTTGCCAAGAAACTGAACTTAAATATCTAAATATTTTACCTTTGGCCATTATAAAATATAAACTCCTCCAACTAGGAGACATAAATTAAAACCTTTTGAAAGAGTCTTTGTGATCCTCTACCAGCTAGCATCTCTAAACCTTCCTGGAAAGGTGGACATTATAGTGGCTTATGTAAAAATTTGATGCTCTGTTTCCACTTTTTCCTTCTTTTCTCATATATTTTTCTTTCCCTTCTTTCCTTTTCCCCACCCCCTACTTCCCCTTCCTCTTTGAACCTTTGGGGAGGGGTGGAAGGGTGGAAGGGATGAAAAGGGAATGGAAAAAAAAAAAGAACTAAGACATATCATACACAGGTACAAATTCTCAATGATGAATGTGATCATAATGTATGCCTAAAATGTACCAATAAAGTTAATTTAAAAAACATTTGATGCTATGATTTGCTATGCATAAGGATTAGTTTGGGGGACATCATCAAGTACAAGAGGTATGTCCTTCACTGACTGACAAACCTTGCCATCTCCTTCAACTAAGCAATCAAATATACATTAAGAATTTTAGAACAAAGTGTATACTGTTACCTTGTTGGGAAAGACTTTATGATGTACTGCTAACCATACACAACACCATCAAAATTTAAAACAAAATTCTTCTAGATTCATGTGAGCCATGTCAAGCTACATACTCACAGGGGAACCCTACAAGCATCCTCATTGTAAGGATCTCAGAGCAAATCCCAAGCTTCTAGAAGCAGATGACATCACAAAGCAGGCAGCTTTTGCCAAGATCACAGATCACTAAACTTTGCTTCCATCTTTCAAAAAGACCTTGTCCTTTCCCCCTATTTATTGAAAAACTGAGTAGAAATTACTTCTATCAATATCCTACTCTGCCTCTGTTCCTCCACAGTAGAGCTCTCTTTCAAACTTGTCTCATTTCCATCACAGTTACAGTTTTCTTAACAAGTCAGGAACAAATTTGGCATTCCTTTACACCAGTTTTTCAAACCTTGGTGTGTTAACCAACCAATATTGCTAGGTATGTCAATATCAGCTTGTATAAAAAAGCCTGAACCCTTTTCCATTCCTGCCAATGTTAGTAGATGATAGACCCACTGTGGAAGATGGGTGAATGAGATGGTGCAGTATACATGACCAGAAATACAATATCCCTCTATCTTTCCTTCTGTTGAGATCCCTGGGTAAGGAAAAACCTGTATGAAAGTTCAAGGACTGTTTCTTCCTTCCTTTGTACTGAATACAGGCATGATACTGGATCCTTCCTTGTTAATTAACCATGACAATATTGCAATTAAATCCTGTGATTTGATTCCTCACATAGTACCTAAAACCCTTCAAAGAGATCATAAATGTTTCTAGCACTGTCTTTTAGGGTACAAGCTTTTATGGTACAAATGGTACTTTTATGGTACAAATCTCCACATACTTTGGCTGGTTCACAGATCCCTCAGTATTGACATGGGTACCTCAACTGCTTCTCTGATTAGGATATCTAATTAAAATGTGTTTACATTGGTAGATGAAATGTTGAGAGTAACTTGGTCAGATAATAAAAGCAACCCTTCCAGTTGTTCAGATATCCCCCTATATCAAATATTTCACAACATGAGCTATTTTTCCAGACAAGGACACATGGAAAATGGAGGTGTGCAAATGCCAACATCACCAATGACACAGTTTGTTTGTCTTGCTGAACCTAAGGAAATGGAGGTTTCTCTCTTACTTCGAACAATACTGGTTTTTATATCTCATGAGCCTACAAGATTTATGAAGAATGGCTACCTAAATGGTCAAGGCAGTGGGGACTCAGATACCTAGATCCTTTGGTCACCACCAGACTGTTCATCTTAGATACTTACTAAATTATCTTCTCAGGCTCTTTCATTGATAAAGTCATGCCACGTTGAACGTATCAGATAAGACTACATAGAAAACATACTTAAGTATTGCTTTGCCAATTCTTTTCAGTGCTGAGGACCTTATTCCCAAGTTTTGGAAATTTTGACTTGGAAAAAGTAATTTCGAGAGTTCAAGACCAAGCTGAAAATGTTAGAACCACTCCAATCAGAAGTTAATATATTCACCTCTATTGTACTCTAAAACTATCACTTCCTGGATACATGACTTCCCAACAGGGAGAACTTGTGAACTCACTGATGAAAAGTGCTGATTCTATGGGAATCACATGGAACAAAGCATCTAATTTATACCTTTGACCAGAAATAATTAATACTGTCTCTCAGATAAATGAGACTCTACCATTTTATTGGATTGAACTATTTGCAGAGATGAAAGGTAATAGAATATGGGGACATATGCTTAGATTTATTCTTCTATGTGAATTTATTATCTTTTTAATATATATATTCTTCTCTCCCTTTGCAGATGTCTGACCACAAAGGCAAAGACGTGCTTATTCTCTCCATAGCCACTAATCCAGGTTTTATTATGAGAAACTTATGGTGAAGTTTCAGACAGAGAAAATGAAGGAGATTCACAATACACCACAATAAAATATGCCACTTTGGCATTTTGGTTATTGTAAGTTAAAGATGATTGAGAAACAGCAGATGCAGGGAGAGTTCTCTCACCTCTCCCAAGACCTAACATTCTTCATGTACAGAGGGCCCTCCACATACTCAGAAGAGGATAGTATTCGTATCAGTGGATACTGGGAGTTGATACTGAAACACATCCATAGAATCATAGCTATTATCTTCTATTAGTTTCCCCATCTGTCTCTTAGTTATTTCCCACACAAATTACTGCCCTTGAAAGCTTAAACTTTTTTTCCTTCAAGTTGTCACTTTCCTACAATTTATTATTTTTCATTTAAAAAGTGTATAAGGTCTTGGTACTAATTGCTTTTTGGGGTCTTCAATTTCCTCTGAAGGCTTTTAAGACTGTGTATATAAAAATACTAAATACAATTTATATGCTTTTCTCTTGTCAGTCTGTTTTTTGTCAGTTCTATTCATAGGCTCCAGCCACAGAATTTAAGAGAGTAGAGGGAAGTTATTCTTCCTCCCTTACACCTGGCACATAGTAACTTTTTTCTGTTATTAATAATATTTTCTCTTGCCCCACAGTCTTCTATAAAATAGTAACATGCACTAAAAGCCCAAGATCATTTAGTAGTACATAGACCTACTAGCATTAAAGCTTTCCTCAGAAATCTTTGTAAAAAATTAATCTAAGAATGTGAGCCGTTAAGGAATTAGTGATGGAAATGAACTACTCTGTAAATTCTTACAGCAGTGGAGCTGGAGCTAATGATGGTGCTGTGTCTTAGTAACGGTGAGCATTGCCACACTGTGCTCTGGAGAGGGAAGTTTCATGAGGAAGACTTCATGAATCATGGCTCCATCAGTGAATCAGACTGACTCAAGCTTTTGTGTGCATTGCATTAATTTGGTTGCATATTTGCATCATATGTGTATATATTACAAAGTATTATTAAGTTGCCCAGGATGACTTCAAAATCGGGATCTTCCTGCTTCAGCTTTCTGAATATCTGGAATTACAGGCATGTACATACCACTCTTAAATTAAAAGATTATATCCTGTCAGTGCTTCTTCCCAAATTAACAGTACTTATTTCCAACTTTCAAACTAACATTGAATCATAATACTTTCGAAAGTCTTCACTAATCTAAGAAATGTAAAATAAAATAATATCTCGTCATTGTAACCTTAACTTTTTTTATCTTGAGAGAAGTTGAGGCATTCATATTTTATTTGCTATTATTTTCTGTTCATGTTCTCATCCCATATTAAGTTTGGGTAATTTTCAGTTGATTTGCTTGTGGACTCTACGTGTTGGGGAAAGAAACATTTTGTCAGTGCCCCAAGTGTATTTTTCCAGTTTGTATTTTGACTGCCTATAGTACTCTTAATCATTTTTATTCCCACATGTTTGTAGTACATATTGCTTACATCCTTGTGGGGAGTCAGTACATGTACATAATACATCTTAATTTCTTTTTTCATTACCTTTCCCTTCCTTTCCCCCTCCCTTCATCTCTTGATCCCTTTGCTATTTGGAAAAGATCTATCTCCTTACTTCCAATTATCTTTTATTTTGCTCTTCACTTATATTTTAGTAGTTTCATATAAGAGAAACCACATAAACTTGTGTTTGTGATTTATTTCACTTAACATAGTGGACTCAAGGTGCATCCATTTTCCTACAAATGACTCATTTATCTGTCTTTATGGCAGAGTAATGCTTCATTGTGTGCATTATTTCTATGCAAAAAACAAGCTCCTTTATATATAACATATATATTTATGTAGATATTTTGTTCATATACATAAATATATCAGAAATGTTTGGACAGTAAATGGGATTTTGGTCAATTTTTCCCATAGCACACCCTAGGATGAGATAGAGGATCCAATTACAGCCTATGGGAGGCAAAATCACAGAAAAAAGGCAGGAGGGAAGGAGAAGAAGAAGCTCACTGTTTGAAATGGATACACAATAAGCAATAAGAGGGACTTTAGAGGAGCCTGTGGGCACTGAGAACGTTCCCTGACAATGGTGGAGCAAGAGTTCAGTAAATAAAGAATAGGCTGGTTCACATCTAGAATTTAATTTGAGTATGAAAATCTTCTCTTATCATCTGTGATTAATTGTTAAACTAGGTAACAGTCACCACCATTTAGTCTACCCTAACCTAGTCACTAATGATTAGTCATATATAATATTTCCTTCTCTTTCTGCATGACAGTGCCCAAGTGTTGAAAAAGTCGATTTTTAATAAGTAGAAGGCTAAGTAAATAAATGTATTTGTAGATCTTGGAGGCCTCTGAAAAGAAGTAAGGGACTGAAAATGGAGCACTCACTATTAGTTAAGGAACACAGGATTTATTCTTATGCCATAATTAATAACTCATATCCTATCCCTATTTCTGGTAATTTTGGAATAGTCTGATAATGACTTTCATTAGCATCTCAAAATATTTTCTTTTTGGAGACATATATGGTCAACTAAAGAAATGCCTTTCTTAATATTCTTGTGAAGTAAAATTTGTATCTTGTAAGGGAAATTATAACCTGAAAACTCAGATTACTACATGTTGTCTCAAATTTCAGGAGATGGTTTGCACAGGCTGTGGGTTTCTAGAATATTCTATGAAGGTACATGTAGTCTATCTGGCTTGGTACAAAGGCAACTAGGAACAATAATTTTCCATGGCAAGGCAAGCTTCTACCAGAAACATAAAACAGGTTACTCCCCAAGTGCCCAATGAGTGATGTCCATTTAATAGGAAAAGTAGCTTATATCAATGACTTTCTGGGTGCTGCTTTTCTAAACTGAAGCTACATATGTTTATGTGGCTTTTACTAGACCTTCTCATGGAGGTGATTTCAGAAATGGTGAAGAATGATTTCTAAGATAGTGTAATCACAATGAAATGATGACCCCGAAAGTTTAAAAAAATATAAATCAAATGCAAGCCCTATGGCTAACTTATTAGCTCACATCTTGTGGTGATTACTACCAAATATCCCCTGGTTTCATTTCTGTTGCACACTTCAAGGTCCATATTAAGCCTTTACTGTAGTACTTTCTGAGAAGTCAGAATTTGTTAAGCAGTGGCACCACAGAGAAAATCATACTAATAGTCCCAATACTCACCAGTTCACTTGAATTCAACAAAAATCTAGAAAACACTGGCTCTTTCTCTACTGGA